TTATCTGCTGAAATTTACTAAAAACATTTACTGAAAAATGAATCAATAAATCTTTTTTTCATCCAATTAACTTTTTTCCCAGAATCCTTTTCAGTTCTATAGAATTTAACTAATAATCCCACAGCACACCAAGACAATCAATGAAGAGCAAAGTTTAAGATTCATTGATTTCAATATCTCTAATACTGGATAGATATGATTAAATTTTGATGCAATTCTTTATCATTAGCATTTTATTTTTTCTGTTGAAATCATTACTTAACTCAGTATTTTTTGTAGGAAACTTAAATTGAATATCATTCAGAGTATTGAACTATATATTTATTTATATCTATATACTTTTTAGCAACCTGTGACATTCTCATTTTAAATTTATCTTGACTTCAGAATATGAACCAGAATTTATGTTAGGTAACAGGTCAGATGATTAAACTCCTACTAAAGTTATGATATTATTACCTCTTGGTAGAAAATTGCTATTTAATAAATTGACTTTAGAATGCTATTGTATTATAATCATTCAGTTAGCTTTTCTTTTTAAATCCTTTTTACTTTAGTCTTTGTTGTATAACTATTTCAGATAATAAATAATAAAGCATATTATGTGTTTTTACCTAAGACAGGTTCAAATTAAAAATACTAGGCAAAATTTGATGAACATTCTCAGTCATCCACATAGAATTGTCTAGAAATTGAATCATGGCAACTAGACTGGCAACGAAGGTGGGATTGGAAGGCAACTAGGCAAACCAAAAAGAGCGTAGCAATCCAGCCCGGAGCTCAGCGCGGCTTCGAGCAACCATTTTTGAGCGGCAAACTCAAAACGTCCTCAGAAAACAAAATGGCCACTGACTCTGTATGACCCAGTCACCGAGCACTGGGACTCGTATATGCTACAATTTGACTGTTTCCTCGAGGCCAACGACCTCATGGGCCTTTCTGAAGGCCGCAAGAAGAATATGTTCCTCGGATACTGTGGCTGGGAAGTGTTCAAAACAGCAAAACCATGCTACAATCGGTTGCTTGGTCCATGCTCCAGCAGACACTGAGAACTCACTATGCCTCCAAGTTGTCCAAGCACGTTCGCTGACATGAGTTTAACATCAGAAACCAGAAGGAAGGCGAATCGATCAATGAGTATGTTGCAGCGCTATGAAAAGCTGCAGCATACTGCGAGTTCTGAGACCTAGACGAACTCTTTCTTGACCGCATCATTTGCAGCGTGTAGGACATTAACTTACAGAAAGGTTACTCGCTAAATCTAACTCTACTCTGCAGGTTGCTTTGGATGAAGCCAGGGCGTCCGAATCGGCCGTCAAATCCACTGAAACTCTGCAGAGCCAAAGCACTCCACAAGATGCGCGAAAGAGTACACATGTATATCACGAGGCTGCAGAGACCGAGAGCTTAAAAGGTGAGGAAGATGACAGCTGCCTCATGCACAGTAGCCGCACCCAGCTGGCATGCAAATTCAAACCGCGTCTCCCACCTTGCGCTAGCTGTGAGGGAGACCATGCCAGATCGGCTTGCCATTTCCGCAACGCTACCTACCAGCGCTGCCAGGTGTGCCAGAGTGAATTCCCTGCTACTACCTGGCAGCCAAGAAGCACACCAAACCACCAGCAGAGGCCCAACCAAGGGGCCTGGCAGAAGCCACCACAGCACTCAGAGGGTGACACTAGAGTCACCTACCATGTCAATTGGCCAAGTCCATACCAGGTGGCCAAAAAAGCTGAAGGTCACAGTCTTATCAAGGACTCTCCATGTGAGATGGAGATCGATACCGGGTCATCAATGACCATCATGCCATGGTCTATCCTCAAGCAGGCTATCCCTAGCCTGAAGAAACAACATCTACAGACCCCTGACATCCACCTACATGATTACCAGGGAAACCGAGTCCCCATTGTGGGCCAAGGCAGCTTCCGGGTGAAATTCAAGCAATCCAGGATGCCCCTACACCTCGCAATCAAACCGAGCTGCAGGCGTTCCTTGGGCTCCCTAATTTCTACAGCATCTTTCTTAAACAGAAAGCCACCATTGCTTATACTGTCTCCTGGCAAAGAACACGAAGTGGTCCTGGGACAGAGCTGAAGCTGCCGCATTTGCCGCAGTAAAAAGACTCCATTTGGCGGACACTTTTCTAGTACAATACAGCCAAACCCTGCCGTTGCTGCTGACCTGCGACGCTTCTCTGTTCGGCGTCGGCGGCGTCCTCAGCCACCACTTGCCCAATGGAACCAAGGCTCCCATAGCCTTTTACTCTAGGACCTTGTCCGCTGCCGAGCGGAACTACAGCCATCTGGACCGTGAGGTTTTGGCTGCCATGGCTGGAAGTAAAGAGGTTTCACGAGTACCTATATGGCCATGATTTCGAACTAATTACGGACCACAAGCCGCTACTGGGTTTGCTGGATGGGGACCGACCTACCCCAGTGTCATTATCACTGTGGATGACCAGATGGACCATCTTCCTAGCTGCCTACTCCTACCGTCTCATCCACTGACCAGGTGCCACTTTGGGGCTGATGCTTTGAGCCGCTGCCTTCTGCCTGAACTTCTTACTGACCCTACCCTCAAGATGCCAGTCCTCCTCATTGACTGCCTGGAGACTGGTCCTGTCTTGTCCAGTGACGTCGTCGCCCGTCACTCTGCAAAGGACTCCACCATCAAACAGATTTTGAACTGGGTGTGGAGGGGGTGGCCCAAGGGGCCTGTTGGGGCTGATTTCAAAATGTATTTTAACAAATGTAATGAGTTATCTGTTGTAAATGGCTGTTTACTGTGGGGGGGACCGGGTAATTGTTCCACCCAAACTGTGCATTGCAGTATTAGAGGCTTTACATGTAGAGCATCCTGGAATTGTCAGGATGAAGTCTTTGGCTAGGAGTTATGTGTGGTGGCCTAACATGGACAGGGAGATTGAAGAATAGATGGCTACCTGCACACCGTGCCAGGAGTCCAGACCAGCTCCCCCAGAGGCACCCACAAACGAGTGGGAGCGACCTCAAGCACCATGGTCTAGGGTGCACATTGACTTTGCTGGCCCAGTTCATGGCCAGACATTCCTCGTTGTTGTGGATGCCTAGTCGAAATTGCTAGAGGTAGACCTAATGACTTCCACTATGGCAGAAGCGGTCATTAAGGTACTACAGAGACTTTTCTCCGTGCACGGCCTGCCTGACATCTTGGTCTCTTGACAATGGGCCCCAATTTACGGCCATGCAATTTGAGACCTTCCTAGCAGCTCAGGGAATCAGACATGCCCTGGTCGTGCCATTCCATCCGTCCTCCAATGGTCAGGTGGAGAGAATGGTGAGATCTGCAAAAGAGGCCCTCACTAGGATGGACCCAGGATTGACAAACACGGGTTGACAGCATATCACACCCAGTGCCACTACAGGAAGAAACCCCTCAGAGCTTCTCATGGGTCGCCAGCTAAGATCCCACTTAGACCGGCTACACCCAAACTATTCTGCCGCATTTCCGCCTGACTCTACAAGCAAGATACAGAACTTTAGCATAGGGGATTCAGTTTATGCCCACAACTACGCTGGGGAACTCTGTGGATTCCTGCCACAGTGATAGGCATCACCGGGCCTTGCTCTTACCTTGTAGAGCTCGAGGATGGTCGGAATTGGAGAAGGCACATTGACCAACTCCGTGGCCGCCTCTCCAACTCCACTCTTAGACAACCAGAGGTAACTCCTGCACGAGTTAGCCAAAGTCCTACCGAAACGGAGCAAAATATTCACTCCTTCCACAGCAAACTCAAGCCCCAGGGTTCCAGAAAACTTACCTGGTTATGTTGCAGGCCCGCAGCGAGCTCTGAGCGAACCGGCTCTAGAAGCTCCATTCGCGGCCTGTGAAAGGTTCCAGGAGCTTCCACCAAGCAGAGCTGCGGAGCAAACGGGTCCATCTGAACTGTCCAAAGAACACCCTCAGACTGAACTGCACAGGTCTGGCAGAGCTACCCAAAAGCCTGCCTAAGTGTATGACTATGTAACGAGTAGGATTATCCCATCCAAGAGGGGAGGGGTGTTAGATACTTGCTTTAACTACAGTGGTTTCTACCAAGGTCCTCTGTTCTGGTAGGAACAGAGGTTTAATCCTATTGGTCGAAGGGTCTGACAGCTCCCTATAAAAGGGCTGCTGTCAGACTCAACCTTCGCTGGATTGTTCTTACTTGTTGTACTTTAATAAAGAGCTATTGTTGCCTTTAGCCTTGTGTGCCTTCCCATTATCTGATCTAACAAAATGTTTTTATTTTGGTGCGTTATGTGAACTTGGTCACTGAGCCTTGTGATTTATTTGGTATAATTTGGCACAATATCTGAATCCAGACAGTTACTCCTTATTCAGCAAACTCTGACCTATTGCAGAGTGTGAACCAAGCAACTTTAAAAATACATTATAATATAAGTGATTGATTTAAAAGAAGAAACAGAACTATGCGTATTTTCTTTTTATTGCCATATCGTATATAGAAGCAAATATTCTTTCTATTGCCCATATTATTAATTTCTCTTTTGATGGCTATCTAGGACAAGACACTGCACATATCAGGGACTGAAATTAAATATTTGATGATTACATCCATCTTCTAAGCATTCTGTTATGCTTTTAAATGCTTATTTTTCAATGTGGGGGCCTTCATCTCCTCAATTTATTAAGATAAGAGATTTCTACTACATATGTACTACTTCTATGTGAATTGTATGTTGATGAACTCTAATAATCTGTTTCCAAAGCAAATGCTGAATGAGAATGCAAACCGGCTGACGCAGAGCAATATGACTGATCTTTTTCCAAAAGTAGTTTTAAAAACAAAATTAACCAAAACTATTGTGTCCTTTAGCAACATTCAAATTTAAAGGCAAAGGTGCAAGTAGCTCTTTTACATTGAAAAGTATTAAAATGTCATAAGGTAGTTGCTGCAAGTTTGTTTTGTATATTTCAAAATATATAATTAACAGTGGCTTTTTTCTCTTTCTCCACAGTATGCAAGCAGTTCTTCTGCTTCAATTTTCTGATTCAAGTAAGTGATAATAAATTAAATTATAATATAGCCATTTCCACTTTGGGATTTCACATGCTGTAGCCAGAATATATGGGTTGGGCTGTAAGTTCACACTTCAAATGTGCAAATTGCAAACTAACTCATTGGAATAGTTCAAGATTAGGAAAGTTTGCCATAAATGGAGGAAACATATAGTCTGAAACATATTTACTCAAATGTGGATGAAAAATGCTTTTAAAAATAAGCCTGTAGACTGTAATGTAACTAAAACTATGCTTTGAGACAGCTGGAGAATATACAGCTCATCATATAAGACATTATCAGTTACTAAAATAATTTCAATCTATTCATGTTTTCTTTTGAATGTAGAAAAATATATTTGTTTTTAACTGGATTTCAACTCTATGGCTCAGTGCAGGAAACGTGTTAGGTTATGTCACACAATATTACATTTTCTGTCTCTTTATACCAATATATAATTTATTAATTAAATAATAATGGAAAATTAGGAACAAAAAAGAAAGTAACTTTGAAATGCACTGTGTATTCAACAAGTAAGACATAGTAATACACAAATAAAATGTAATACTTCAGCCAAAAGCTCAGATTATCAATAATTTTTAATTTTCTGTAGTGCTAATTCTCAGATAAGTAGAAGCTTGCCTTCCTATTTTTTTTGGGTGGAGGGTGGGGGGGAAATCTAGTTATGGCATTAATTCAGGACTTCTTAGCTATGGAAAAAAGATATATGTAGTAGAATCCTTGATAGATTGATTTCTAGTTAACTTAAATTGAGGATAAGGCAGTTGCAAGAAAGTTTCTTGCAAGACCTAGGGAGGAAGCTAGAATTTAGTGGGGATATATGATTAAATTGCATGAGTATTATCTACTATCTAGAGACCTAAAAACGCACATGACACTAAGCTACAATGTTTTTTGTTTTTGACCTGCTTGACTTTGTTGTTTACTACTACATACAAATTTGTGGGTACTGATCTATAAAGGAACATACGTAATTCAAATTTCTTTCTTGTTTTTAAAGGAACAGAGTTGGTTTCTAAATCCATACATTTTAGAAATGGCCACTGAAGTTGCTAACTCAAAAAATGAATATAAAATATCATATTTAAATATCATATTTCACACTGAGGGCTCAGGAGCCCAAAACACACCCATTTTTGGCAAAAACAGGACATGTGGAGCACTGCAGAGTGCTTCTGGGAGCTGGAGAGGGCAAAAACATGATGCACAGAGAGTTCAGGAGGCCAAAAGTAGGCCCGTATTCAGTCTTTAAGATGCACTGAAATTTTCACCCACTTTTAGGGAGGGAAGTGTGTCTTATAGTCTGAAAAATATGGTATATGTCTTAAGGAAAAATACACAAAAATGCATTATATTAAGAAACTTAAAGTATAAAAATAAAACACATAAATACAAAAATTGATACATCAGGACATCACACATGAAGATATATATATAATTTGGAAACAAAGAGAAAAACAGGATCAAAATGAAATAATGATTGGGAAAAACAGAATGAGTAAAATAAAAAATGATGGATTTATCTGACCATGCTATAGTAGTAGAATGGCTATTGAAGGGCCATGCTTTGCTGGAGTCCCTGCTAAAAATTCTAAATAATCTATAGACATAGTTCTGAGCTAAATGAAGTAAGGACTGATTCCATATAAATTAAGCTGAAAAATTAGATTAATTCTCTATGGTTCCATTGTCTGGTTGTGATCAGAACTTTTAAGATTTCAGCTAATGGAGGAAAAGTATAATTATATTGTGAAATGCCCAGTATTGTTTGTATGAAGACAATGTAAGAAAAATTATGACAAGAGTGCTAAAGTCTTATAAAAGAAAAATTCTCAAAAACAACAGTGTCTCCAGGCTATGAGCACCACACCTTCTTGAGTAGAAAACTGCCATGTGGAATTCACTGGCATTCAGTTTCCTTGCTTTGATTTCATTTTTGCTTTTTTGTTCCAATTATGTTATAGGGAATTAATTGATGGCTTTAAACATAGGAGATTATTTTTCAGGATGGAAATCTTTTATAATTGTGCCAGCCAATATATCTCATAACTTGAAATACCTGGGGCTATGTATGATTATAGTTGCTCTTATATCTAGTGGATGTGTAGCACAGGCGAGATATAATGTTTTTGATAATACAACCTTAAACAGCCAATAAACAAAAATAGGCTATTAGAAAAAGACACTTTATGTGTTAAATATATGTGGTTCATTATAATTAATATTGGGTTTTGCTGATTCCTGTAGGAATGGGCAATATTTTGGTGGCTTATATTTTTCTATAACATTGTTTGATAAGGCAGTGGACTACAGTGGCTGGAGCAGTGATGCAGAATAGATGGAGTTGTATAATGTATATAGCAGGAACAAATTTTCTGATTTGTTCCTATATGAGGATAAATGATTGGGAGCTGCCCAGAGTTAAGGTGGAAAGCTATATAAATGTTTTAAATAAAAATATTTGTTTTTTATAAATATAAATTTTACTAAGCTATTTTAAAATATACACTCATGTGTTTTCTACTTTAAAATGGTATATCACTGATTTTCAGTGGTGGTGTCAGATAATTGCAGATAAAGTGCCTGGCAAATCTTTGCCTTCTTGATGTCAGCATATATATATGCTGGTCTTGTTGTATTTGGGTCTTTTCCCATTTAAGATTGAGATTGTCTTGGCAATGTTTCAGCGAGGTCTCACTTGTCATCTTCAGGCTGGGTTTTGGGCTTAAAGTGTGATTGGAGCTGCCATCTTTCTATAAATCTTGGTGGGAGTGTGTGGAGTGCTGCTTTGTTTCAGTAAGTGGAATGATTGGTTGTGTGGTTGTATCATGATTGGTAGATTGGTGCTGAGTGGTGCTGACTGTGTGTCTATTGTTGTTTCGTGTTGTAATGGCCTGGATAGTGGATGGGGCTTGTTTGTTGACTGGCTGGTTTCCAGATGTCTGGTAGGCGGGAGGTATCATCATGTTTATTCACATTGTGGGGGTGTTTCTCTATTTCGATAGATNGCACTAAGCAGAGTCATCCACTGTGACTCTGGCAGCAACTACCTCAGCCTTTTTCCTTTTAATTTTTTTCCCTTTTCATCATGACAGTGGTGAGGCCCTGCCTCCCCTGCTTCCCCTGACTGCATGTCCTTGATTATTTTAATTTCAAAGGATGTTTGGGTTCAATTTTTGAAGTTAATAAGTGTAAAATTCTTGAAATGCTGTACTGGATATATTGAAAGTTAAAAAATAGCAATATTTGTCTGGAGTCTGTCTTCCAAACTCACTTTGGAAAGAGAAATAGGTGGTAATCCTACCATTCCATCCTCATTTATATGTATAAATGTAGTGATTAAATAATGACTATTTCAGAAATTTCTTGCCACTTTGAAACTCTTTCTGCCTAATATTTGTTTTGTCAATAATTCTTGTAAACAAACAAAAAAGATTATCTGAAAACCTTTTTGCCTAAGAAATGGCAGCATGTAGACAGAAGTGATTTGTTTTCTGGTTTTGGGGTGGTGGTGGAAGCCCATCTTTCCCTCCCTGCTTTGACTTCCCCAAACCCTCCCAGTCTTAGCTATTGACTTCCCCAATACCCCCCCCCAGACTTAGCCCCCAGTATTAACTCCTCCTCTAGAGGAGGAGGAGGAGGTTCCATACTCTATGTCATTTCCTCATTATATTGCATTATACTGATGTAACTAATAAAAGGAATTGTTCCATGGTGAATTGTCCTGAATCAAGTTGGCCAGGGCAAGATGGCTGGGGTGAACTGGGTGGCAGTGAGGTAGCCAGAGTAAGATAGCAGCAGTGAGGCAGCAGCAGAGCCAGTGGCAGCAAGTTATCCTAAACCAGCATGTAGAATATCCTGATTGTTTTGTCTTTATCCAAGTAAATATCTTTCATAGACTCATGTTTCAAGGACTGATCATAAGTACTATTCATTTAACATTATTGTAACATTTGATGAACAAATGGTCATTTAATCTATAGCTGTATTTAAAGTTACATTAACCTATCACCTTAATGAGCAGAGATAATTTCTTCATTATCAGGAGAACATAAAATCAGCAGCAACTAATTTGTATTAATCATATTGACCTCTAAATTTAACCATCAAAATATCTTTGTATATTTTGGAAAAAATAACATTAAGCCCTGAACAAACAAGCACTTGGAAAGACATCTTACAAAGTGTCTATGGGGATTCCCAGTTATCCAGGTCATGGTTATCCCAAGGTGCTTTTTCAAGAGGAATTTAACTTTCTATGCTTTTCCTTGAAGATTTTCTCTTCTCATCCAAGAACTGAACATAGCTTTTTTTAATTAAAAAAATTTAATTTTTAATTTAAAACAAATACATCATCCTTCTTTACATGCTATAGAAAGTGTATCAGTTGGTTAAAAAAAAACTTTCGTNGCCTGAAACTCCGTCTTCTCACTGCTAAGCCCCGCCTTCTCCATCTGGGCCTCAGCTTTTTAAGTGTCTCAATTTTCTAAAGCATTTTTCAGAAGTGAAAAAAATGGTACTTCCCAAATGGAGTTACAAAAATGATAGTTTTTATTATTATATGGAATATCCTTTTTTAACTACTCTGTGAATGAGCCATAGTGCTAGATCTTGAGACAGAGCCCAGTTGCATGAGTTTTAAAATGAAATATTTCAGAAACTTTGAAAGTAACCAGAATCTGAAAAGGACATGGCATTGGAATTACTATGCCAAGAAATTTCTTGACAAGAAAGAAGAAACACATGATTTTGTTTTGGGAATACTGTGGTTTATATACATTATTTTCAGTGACATGCGGTGAGGTTCACAACCAGTGAGGCAAGCAGTGAGGCGGGGGGGAGAAAGAAGGGGAAACCCAGGGCTAGGCAGTCCGCTCATACACGCCACCCCCCTGGCCACACACTTCCCCCTTTGCAAAAAGGTGAAGTCAAAGCAAAAGCAGGGAAAGCAGAGCCAGACCTGAAGGCAGTTTGAG